TTCCACCTCTAAATTGTTTTTCTTTTGGAAATAAGAAAACACAGGGGGATGTTATAAAGATAAGATATTACAGATGGAACTTTTAAATTTACATCATCTCAGTCTAGTTTGAATATTAGATGGAAGATTGGAGAAATCGTGGAACATCTTATGATATTTTGGTTTTTCAGCAAATTATTATATAACAGTGACATAGATTCCAAATTGTTTTCAAAATGATAATTTTATTATATCAACAGGGGGAGAAGGAGAAGTAGACCCTAATTCCTGGTAAATTTTTGGTTATGGTTAATTGTAAATTAGTTAATCAATCATTTTGATTTTTTTCATTCAACAATAGTGAATTATGGATTTCTTTAATGTAGAGTCATATGGCCTTCCTGCTTGACTAAAAAATGGTGTATGTGATATAGAAGCTTCTACTAAATTAGATTTGATCATCTAAAATTGAACGGTTTCAAATAACATCTATGCCATGTTTATTTACATTTAAAATTGTTGATAGATTTCTGCATCACTGCTGACTTTGATTATATACAGTTGGGTGTAAATTGTTAATTTTGAGGAAAATTTTGGTTAAAACTGCTATGAAATTCAAATAAAATGTAAATAATTTCTAAAATTTTAAAATAAGACTTTGTCTTGAAGCGTGGGACAATGATAAGGATGTTTGCTATTTAGTAGAACAATATGCAATTCATAATTATTTGACAAAGTGCAATTCAATCACAACTTTTATTAGTGTCAGTACTAGGACATTCTAGAGTTTGTTCTAATTCTTTAATGAGTTTGTGAGGTTGTGATTTTAAAATTTGTAGTTGATATTTGGCACAGGCAGAGTGAATGTCACCGAGGTATTGATGTTTATTGATTTTGAACAGTAAATGTCATTATTTTCTTAATTCTGGCACATCTGATCGTGGACCATTTTAACACATTTCTATGTTTATTCTTTTTGCAGTTCTGGATTTGGGGCAGTTGGCCGTTTGTGCTATAACAACAACAAATCTAGAGCCACACGGGAGGATGCATCACAAGATAAATTTTATTTATAATAGTGAAAGTAACAAAATGTGGCATATATAAGTTTTGCTTTTTAATTACTTTGTATAATTTTTTCTCTGGCAGTTCTCCTTCCTTCTGACTTGATGGCAATCTTGGGGAAAGGGTCTTTTAAGCTCAAAGATCATGGGACAATGTATTTGAAGGGATCTTCTTGATTACCGCATCAGGCCGCTGTTGTTGCTGAACAAAGACATGATGATGCTGAACTGTGCCCATCTTTGGCTGGACTGCTGTATGAAAGCCAAAAGCTGATGAACGATTACGAAGATCAGCGAAGACGAACTGTTCTCCTGCTGTCATGTGAGGGCAGAGTGCTGCTCACAGGACCTGACAACAGATGTCTCCTTTGAGTGTTGCTTTTCATACCTGGCTGAAAACAAAAGGGACTCAGGCGTTATCTGTGGGAGTCTTCTACGGCTGGGAATCAGCAGTGAGTCAGGACCACAAAGATCTTAGCCTTTTGTCCAAACCCGGACGGGGGTTTCAGTGGATGACTGATCTCCTGGTTTCTATGTCCTGCTCTGTCGACCACGAAAGGCTGACCAAAGTTCATCAAAGCGGGACTGTATCCAGATGTTTCTGCACTGCGGGAATGACTGCTACTCTGGACACCTTCTGATTCAGCAGATAAAGAATTGGGGCATGGCAAGTCACTCAGCGGTGGTCCTGTTGTGTGTTCTCATGTTTGATCCTGGATTCTCACCTCTGATCATGTGACCTGGGCGCCAAAGCCCACTCCTGGGGTTCCCTTCAGTCTGCAGGTTGGAGACGAAATGGGTGCCAACAAAACTTGGTAGTGGTGAATAAGTTCTTTTTAAATTTTTGTAGTGTGTGATGCCATTGTTCTCTTCTTACTTTAGTTATAGCACTGATGCGCCCTGTTGTCTTCACGTCCTGAAGCCCTGCAGTGTAATGCTAAGTGTTGAGCACACCCCATCTCCTGGTGTCAGAGGTTTTACAATGCAGTTTGAGGGTTGGTGTGCACCAACTGTTACGACACTGCATTCCTCGGAAATGCATTAACTTCCTCCATGATTCACTCTGTTTGTCTCACAAAATGCTAATGTGTCTTTTTTCCCTTCCTGCCTGAAAAGAATGGGCAGGGACTAACTATTGCAATTACATATTTTTTCTTAACCATAGCTGAATTGCATTGTGTGTTACGCTTCATCTACTAAGGAAGATGATCTAAATTTTATTTACATAGTCTGTGTTAATTTAAAAAATTTAATCAAACATTAAATTCTATGATTGAGGTGTGCAGATTGTAACAGCATCTGGGACACCATGTTTGAATTGCATCCAACTGTGTTACATGAGGCTAAAGTTAGTGGTGATAGCGGAGTTCATCTCAATGAGTTGTATAGGATTTTTATTGTATTCTATGACAGAACATTTGTTCTGTTATAGAAACAGGGGGACATGAATGGAATTGATCTAATAAGCAAATTTTTAGTTTGGATCTCTCTTTACTTTTCGGAAAAAGAGGTAGGTAGGTGACGTTAAGTCAAAATACATTAAATGCTTTACGGTGTACTAGCAGCATTAAATATGAGCTAACTATTTGGATATGAAATAAGTAAAATTTATAAATTGAATATACTATACTAAATATTACCTATCAAATAATTTACATAAAACAGTGTTTCTTAAACTAAGGAAGGTGATCATTGGATTGTTGTATCTCTATTCATATGATTTAAAATAAGTTGTTTAACTAAGACATCCAGGAAGGTCTAAACTAAAGATTTACATCATTTAATAAACTTAGCTGTATCGAATCTCTCCCCAAAACTGAAAAGGCATTGATAATTGATAAACAATATAAAAAGGGTAATACATTATTTAATTGAATATTTTATAAATAGGTTTTCAAAAGAATAAATGGATCAAAGGTAAAAAATGGTTGAAATTTTGGGGATTTAAAACTATGATTGGAATAAAGTAGGTCATTTTTGATATTTAGTGACAAGGTTAACTATACTCATGTAAAACAGGCTGATCATTCTTTAAGGTTTAAAAAAAAAATAGAAAATATGATGATTGAAATTAAATTGGTCTAAATTGGAGATTTACAAATTAACAATTATGGAACTGCTTCTAAAATACAGTTAAAGGTGGGGTATATGATCCTGGATAAACGGTTCCTGCCAGCTACATTTTTGAAAATACACACCTTCAGCCCACCCCACGAAACCACGCCTCCAAATTACATGAACGCGCCTGCTGTCAGTCGAGAATGTTCGGATGTTCCCGAGAACGAAACAGGCCGAGACCTCGCGAGTGCACGTGACTCGGGATGAGGCGAGAAGCTCATGTCTATTACTAGCTAACCACAACATAACAGGCTAACTTCCATGATGGCGTCGTCTTCTCCTAGTACGGTAAGAGTGTTGAACAATTCAATATGGTCGTAAACAAGTTGTCACGGTTGTCATTTCAAGAAGTATTGATCCTCCCTTCAGCGGGTTTTACCGGCGTATGCTCTGTTGCTTAGCAACCGTGTAAGTTGACACACACAAAGCAGGAAAAGAATGAATACCAAGGTTTTCAAAACTGTTTTTTTATTTATTTATTTTTTTAAAAGTTAAAGTGAACAAAGACTACACTCACAAGAATCCAGAGTGGAAGGTTTCCAACCATTGGGAGCAGGAACCAATCAAATCAAATGTAATGATAGAAACCTTAGTCAGTTAAATAACCTGCTGCTGTCATTCTGCACATCTCTGATGTTGCTGCTATTTTCAAATATCCATTACTGTAAAAATGTCCATAGCTGCATATTGGTTATTTATTCCCCAGTTTTATATTGTTAAAACACTTTACAGTATTTTATTGTTTATATTTTAACTCTTCCCTATTATGTTATTCTTATACATTTTTCTAAGGTCCTCATTTGTGTGACTATTTTCAATAATCTTTCTGCTGCTGTAAATTTGCCCATTGTGGGACAATAAAGGGATTTTCTAAACTATAAAAGGGTTAGAAATACATAAGTAAATCTAAACAATGTATGTATAAAAATATATCTGCAAAATCTCTAATATTCAACAACAAAAAATACTTAGTTAAGCATATTGTGCAAAACAACAATAAAAAAATTAAACTCCTATCAGATTTATAGTTCCCACTCTGCAGATCTATTAGAATCTGTCCTTAAATTACAGCCAAACCCATTTACACAATAACAGATAAAAACCTTCAGATAAACCAAACATTACCGCCACATATCTGACTCAATAACCATTAAAAAAACTATTTTCATTCATTTCAGACGGAACTATTCACAGAGTTGTATTATATTAAACTGAACTTCCAATTTCCCGATGATGAGACATTTGTTCTTTCAATCAACCCCAACCCCCCCCCCCCCCCCGCTCCAAGGTGTCCTGGTTTTCCCAAATGAAAATATGGTTACCCTAGTATTGATAGTAGATGTATACTAGACAAGTCGTTGTTTTTTTACTTGTTGTTTTGATACGTGTTACTCACACAATCTCACTGTAGTAATAACAGTGGTGATCAGAGACCTACTGTTGTCATCCTAGCAAAAAAAAAAAAAAAGGACGGACATTGACATATTTCTATAGGTGTAATATGTATGTTACTATTGTGTGCATGCATACCTGACAGTGTAATCCGTTGTCTTTTTGTTACGGACGAATCTTACGGGGAAATTCCACAGCCTAACTTACGCTAAACCTGACTATTCTTTTCATTTGTAAAATGGGGATGTCGCCCGTAGCTTAGGCTATAGTGTACTTGTGCGAGCAAAGAAAACAACAGAACAGATCAACGCTAATGAAGTTGAGGTGATTGTGACGGTGTTGTCCACGCTTTATTTATTTTAGAGCTTCCACGGCGACAGCTCCCCTGAGCCAACGTCCAAACGCCCGAAACGCCAGACCAGTACAAGAGGTGGACCGAGGGGCAGCGATCGTGGGGGCAGAGGCAGAGGCAGAGGAAGAGCTGGGACAGCAGGAGGAAGACCCAGGGGAAGGAGACCTCAGCCGTGGGGTCTTGAACTTACGCAGGAGGACTTTGAGAGAATTCGAGACATGCGAGCGGACAGGATTGCAAATGAGGATGTAGGTTGATCACATACTAGGTTTTAATGCCATAAACTGTTTAGCTCCAAAGATGTATGAAGAAGTGTTGTAAGTGAAGTGTTAGTACAATACTTGTGCAACGTGAGATGGTTGTAGCTACATAACATCAGTTGTCTTGTAATTAGATCCATAAGACACATTGTACTTCATATTTGTTTGAATCTGACACAATACTTTTTTTTATTCAAATGGAAGTCTCAACAACATGGTATTATAGGAACATAAATGCAATTACTGAATTGGTAATGTCCACACCGGGCTCATGGTCAATGGCAATACTTAGTCATCATCTACTGGCAGAGGTGTCAAAAGTAAAAATGAAAGTACATTTGTGGTGTAATTACAACACTAGCACATGACATCACATAGCTGTTACACCATGTACTCCATTGTACCATATGAAATAGATGGACTGTGTTGTTACTGAAAAACACTGAAAACCTATCAAGGACCCACCCACAAACTTGATCCAACCAGTGCAGAGTTAACTGATTGTAAGACACAGGTCTACTGGTTACTCAGATTTCAACTTGTGTTAGAATTTAAGTTTTTTTTTTTTTTTTTACTTGTGACACCTCTGTCTACTTCATATGACAAAGGAAAGGCACTAGATAAAACATTTATTTCTTTACAGGCCCGAATTCAATCCCTGGATTTACAACAAGCTCGAGAAATATTGCGAGGCGCCCTGACCCGTGACCCCAGCCTGATGTTCGACTTAGCACACCGGACATCTGGCCCTCCAGGTCCGCAGCCACAGCCCCCTGCAGCCCAACCTACCTGGTGCGTCTGCACCAATTGCAAGGAGATGCCAACCGACATTGAGAGAAAGTGTTGTGGAGAACCGGCCGACTCCTGCATCGCCATGATGCAACACATGGACGAGTTCATATTGTTAGAGGGGATTCTCTATTTTGCAGGGAGAATTTGGGCAGAAGTGCGGGCAGAGGCTGATGTTGTTGGACCTGGAGAAAGCAACAGAAGATTCAGGCATGCAGCCTACCGACAGTTTGTGGTGTGGCAGTATGGGGCACTGGGTCACGGCCGGCGTGTCGTTATACCCAGTTGCTGCGTATGGAGGATCCGTGACCGTTATCCTGATCCACTGGGCCAGTATAGAGGGTTTGTAGCAAGTAGGGTGTGAACACAAACTGGCGATGTACATAACTTTATAATTATTTTTATTCCTACTGTCTTTGTGTACATAGTTGTATTGTATAATTATTGTTATTTGTAGTTGTATACATCTGCATGGATACTGTTCTCTTGGTTTTGAACCATTCTACCTTTGACATTTGCGTGTGCATTTGAAAATAAAAGCATAATTTCAAAAATCCTTACTATTGTTGTCTTGTGGAATACAAATTGTCAATGTTATCAATTTTCTGACCACAGAATGGTTACAAAATACAGACATACACAGTAAAATAGTGTAAAAGAATATTTATTGGCATATTGTCATGTGTGGACAGTTGAAAAAAATGTTGGGCAAATTAAAATATATACAAATTTACAGTTATCACCACCATGCAAAAAAGGAGAACAACAGCTGAAGAACTAGTCAGCAGGTGGAGGAGTCTGTGCTGTAAAGAGATAAAACAGAATCATATGTCACATGTCTGACAATAGTGAAACTTTCAAATGTGAGCAGCCACGAATTTTGAACAGTGAGTGTCAATGGTACTTACCAAGCCCTCTGCTGACTTGCTTCAGTAGCAGCTCTTGGGTTGTTGGGGCAGGTACACCAGAGAGAGGGCCAAGTCTTCTCGGGTCATCTGGTCTGGAGGGTCTCGGGTCAGCCATTCCTCTAGTGGCAGCCAGTCTACGACGCAGAATGGTTCTCTGTAGGTCATCGATGTAGCTGTAGTCCTTCTCAACCTTTTCCATATGCAGCCTCCAGCTCCTGGACCTCTTATTGTACAACTTCCCGTACCTGAAACATGAAATGTGACAGACTGTCTTAGAGCTAATTTACATTTCATTACACTCAGATAGTGCTTTTACAGGGTGTGTTAGTCAAGTGTGGAATTTTGTGCCTTGTTCAAGAGCACATCAGCCACGATTGGAGGTGTGAGGGAAAGGGTAAGGGGAGAGAGGGTAAGGGTGGTATTAGAACCTGCTACCCTCTGATGTTAGGACCCTCTCTCCAGCCAATTAGGCGATGGCTGCTGCAAATCTTCTTGGGTCCCCAGGTTGTGTTTCGTAATCAACAACATATTGCTAACATATTGTAAAACTGTTCAATGAAAATCCATTTGCCATCATCACTGTAAAGACATTTGAATACATTGACATAACTTGTATAGAAATGTTTATGATGATACATACTGAATTGTGCCATCCGCCTTTCTCTTGGCTGGTCTCTTCAGGTGATGGTTGTAGTCCAGGCCAGCCAACAAAGTACGCGCTTCATAGACAGGAGGGGAAAAGCTGTAGCGTTTGCTTGCATACATAAGTATGTGGTTATGAAACGACTCCAAATCTGCCGTTGACCTGAGTGAAAAGCAGAAATTGTAAAGATCTTGTGGTGGATTTTAATTTTAGACAAAGTATAACAAAAATTGCACATCAGCCATACATCACATTCAAACCAGTCTCATGGGAAAATGTACCCCCACTACGTTGGTCCACACTGCAAAACGTAGTGGAGGTACATTAAAGGCCATTTTTTTGTGGTACTGTTACGTTTCTTCTGCCTATACGCTTTCTATTGTTTTACGTCCTAGTCACGTGACTTTCAAGATTCCAGCTGGGAGAAGAAAAAAAATAAATATATGGCCGACATTCGCTCATTTTTTTGTGGAAAGATTAATGACTTGAGTTTGTTTTTGCATTAAAATAAGTTTTGATTACATTTCTAGTGAGAAATGTATAGTTTGTTGCCAGAATATTTACTCAGGGAATGTACATATTCACTTGCTTGTTCGTTTCTTGCAAAGATTTTTCAAGATAATGTGAAACTGTAACATTTTGGTATAAACATGGCTGAGATTTCTCTAACTTTTAGTGGGAAAATCAATAATTTCAATCAGTTTCTGCATTTAAATGGGTTTTTGATTACATTTATAGCGAGAAGTGTCGGGTTTATTTACATAATATTTACTTAGTGAACATACATAATCACCCGCTTGCTAGTTTTTGCTACGGTGTTTCGGATCTCGTCAGGATTATGTGAAATTGCAACGTTTTGGCTGCTACCTATCGCCTAGCATTTAGCTGCCGCACCGATTCAACATTGAATTCTTTGTGATTTAACTCCATCTGACGGATCAAACCCTCGCCACTGCGGCGTTGCGTCTGAGGTTGATTTTCAGATCAATGCATTACGTCGTGGCATACGGGAGAAACTAATTAAACTAGTTTAAAAAAGGATCATGGGTTAAGATCGGACGTGTTTTATTTGGAAATCTACCGGATCCTTTGTGCATTTCACTTCCTGTTTGGTGCGATCTCATTGATGGGTTTTGACCAGATTTTGACCAGAGAGGAACTAAAAAAAACAAAAAAACAATTTAAATACACAACCAGCATATCTGGAATCAGTGACAGAGAGCGACTGGGACCAGAAGTTTATTAATTTCTCCCCACTGATTTCCATTCAAAATGTTTTCGATCCCACCGGGCTCTAGGGAAGGGGCGGGCATACCGCCACCTACTGTTCATGAGTGTGTAGCAACATTGTTTTACATCTATTAAATTCTATTTTTAAATTTTGTATTCTGAAGATAAATAAATAATGCTTTCCTTAATCTATAAATATCTTTTATATTTCCTTTATTTCCCAATAATCCTTTAAGACTCCATTCTTGGCCTGTCCTCTTTTCAATTTCTTCCTTTCAGGTTCATATGTTTTGCAGTTCATCAATACGTGTTCTATATTTTCTATCTCTCCACATCCTTCACATTTATCATTATTTTTCCTCCCTATTAAGTATAAATTGTCATTTAAATAAGTATGAACTACTCTTAATCTGATCATTATTATTTCTTCCCTTCGGTTTCTCTCATTAATATTTCTATTTAATACTGACTTTTGTACTTTATATAACCTTCTTCCTTTTTATCTTCATTCCACCTTTTTTTTTGCCATTTTTCAATTTCTTTCTTTATTTCTTAATAAATGATTTTCCTTCCCCTTTCCCTGAAGTATTTGTAATTGTTATTTGTCTACTTTTCATTCCAGCTAAGTGCTGATGAAGGTTCTCAGTCATCCAGGTCATAGTCATTCCGTAAAAATTCAAAAAATATCCACTGGACTTGGTTTTCAAGATTTGAAGACGTTTCGCCACCTCTCCAGGAAGCTTTCTCAATTCAAATGTCAGGATCCGCAGTGAGTTTGAGTCTTATAGGCGTTGTCTATATAAGACTCAAACTCACTGCGGATCCAGACATTTGAATTGAGAAAGCTTCCTGGAGAGGTGGCGAAACGTCTTCAAATCTTGAAAACCAAGTCCAGTGAGCATTCCAGCTAACTTTCCATTAATTAGCTTGAAAACAGCACTTTGTAGGCACCCAGTTTCTCTAACAATGGCCCTTTTTGGGTCACCCTCCATGCATTGGGTGTCAGTTCAGTTCAGTTCAATTAGCAGTTTTGTGTGGCACTGCACAGTTACATAGTCAAATTGTATAAACCAGACAAAGCAGTGAAGGACCAGGTGCCATAAACAAACAAAGAATCAATAACAACAAAGTATGTATCTCATAATTCAATGCAACCTGAAATGTTGAGGAGTTGAAATGTAGTGAGCAAAATGTAAATAATAATCTATACCCGGTGCCAAAAGGCCATTGCTCTGGGTAGAGGAAAGTCATGACCATTTGCAGGTTTACCTGAAGTGAAGGTATTTGTCAATGTTCTTCAGCCAGCGTGCGTCGAGAACAATTTCTCTCAGTCTTTGGTGTGCCAAACTGTCTGCCTCGATCCATTCCTTGTCTCTGCTGTCCTCCAGAGGGCCATGGTGACAGGAGTACAGGGACCACTCATGCTCTCCGGTGACATGGTGCAGCAGTCCCGACCACATGTCCTAAAAACAAGCAGTAAGGAGTTGTATTCTCAAATAAGGAGTCTCAGTGCGCGTAAGAAGGTTCCAATGTTGTTGGACAAATAACCCGTGGTAAGTATAAATTGACATGACGTTTCCAGCAAGATGGTGTTACCAGCAATACAATAGTTGCTGTTACACTGTACCATCCCAACATTTGGCTAAGTAAGAAAAATGTAAGGTTACTAAGTTACACAAAGTGTACATTAAACTGGATGACATCTACCACCAACATATTGAGGAGAAATGTGGCCAGACTATGCTTACATTGTCCAGTCAATGAGGACATCAATTAAAAATTTTAATATTTCTGTACTAGGCTACTTACCATAAACTGTCGATAGGAGTTTGAAGTCTTGCAGCAGTGCCAGAAATGGTTGCAAATATCCCTGCTCCATGCTAGTAAACCAGCGCATCCCTTTTGCTGTCCTGCCTGGACATTGAACAGGATATCAGAGCAGTAAACAATGTCAGAAATCTCGCAAAACACATATGAAGTTAGTGGATCAAAAGCATGCAATTGCAAATAAACATACCGCCACAAGCTTCTTATTGAGGTTCTTCGAGCCATGCCAGATGTCCCAAGAATGGTGTATGCCACTGTCTTTGAACAGCCCTTTATCTGAATGGTGCAGAAAGATGATGAATACATCATCCAATAACAGCTGTATGGTGAAGCTGTACAGTAATATAGAAATTACTTACTAAAAAGTGCTGCTATTTGACTGTGTGCATCTGTGCAAACTTCGGTCACATTCAGCTCTTCACGAAGTGTCTCCAGGGTACGCACAAAGCCCTCCTTCTCCATAATGACAGAATTTCTGTTAGTCTCCCGTTTGTCAAGGTTTACCATGGAAATTATTTGCTTCGAATCATTATCCATGGCTGTGTATGTGTAGTATTGTGCACAGAACCCCGGACTGTCCATACGACCATCACCTTTGAATAAAAAATGAGAAATAATTAGAGTGTGTGTGTGTGTGTGTGTGTGTGTGTCTTCACAACTCACCAAGGACCACAACAGGCCCTCGTTGTTTTAGCTGAGCAATCACTTTGGCCCTCTTGTCATTCCAGAACTCTTTTACGCTCTCAACACAGAAGGAGTCCTGGATCTTGAAGAAGTTGGTCCTGTCAACCATCCCCATATTCATAAACTGGAAAAGCAGTGCAATTTTGGCATAGTTGTTGCCTGAGAGCAATATATTGGTGGCTAGCATGAAGTCCCCGGCCAACATTCCAAACTTGAACATGGACTGTGAACTCCATCGCCACACCAAATGACCCCGAGAGCACATCTGAAAACACAGTCAAAAACGGGGATGGGGGGGTTTGTTTAACAGAATACATAGAACAGCCACTTCACCATATGACTCATATGGAAATATATAATACATTTGTGACAACTCACCCATTCTACAACAGCTGCTGTGCCCCGGGATTTTACCCGAATTTCAAAAGGCGCCTTTGCAGGGCACGGCTTGTTTGTCATCGGTTCTTTTTCTGTGCATTCGGCCATTGGCAAGGCAACGCACCCCGCAAGCTGCTTCAGACAATCGTGGTACACAATTGACGCAGGATGGCCAATCACATCATCTTCTACCTCAACTTTCATCGCCTCTGGCAACGGCGTGTCTGGCCTTGCCGGATCACGGTTGAAGTCCACATCAAGAACCGATTCTTCTAAGGTGACTGTTGGCAGTGTTTCCAAACGTAGGTTCGTCGTCAGAGCACCTCCTGTTCTGTAGAATAAACAAGATACAGAAAAATGATAACAGCAATAACAACATCACTCACAGATAGTAAGGTAAGGTAGTGGTACAGAATATAGCTTACCGCACACAAACACGAGGCACATAATCAGAATCACTCTCGTCACTGTATGTGTCAATTTCCTTGGTCACATCTTCCTCCAACGATGAGACAGAGTCTTCCTCCATGTCAGGGTCCCAGGTGTCATCATCACCCCAGTCAGGGTCCCAGGTGTCATCATCACCCCAGTCAATTCTAAGTAGTAATGCACATTATTTAAAAGAGGTCTCGTTTTTTTTCTTAGCTTTTATGTCCATACATTGTTTTGAGAACACCACTTACGTAGAATTTTGAATGTCATTGAACTGCTCCTCACTGACATCAGCATATGCGTCCAATGCAGATGAACTAATCAGATAAATAAAGCAGAGGACAGAACATCATGAACTTGTGTGTAATTTACAGGGTTTCCTTTTGATATATTTCACAGAGTTGTGGCTGAAAAGTGTTTCACATGACATACATAGTACCCGGCTGTTCATCATCACCCTCTTGTGTTCTGCTGTCCAAATTCTCTATCCCCTCAATGAACGGATCATCTCTGTGAAACATATAACAGATGGAGAAACAGCATAGAATCAGGCCAATACAATTCCCCTGACAATAAATCTCTTTTACAACTGTTTCTTCCTAGACACAAGGTGCGCAGTACATTTACAATGTGTTAATATGGGTTGTTGTCAAAAAAAGAAAGCAAGTCGTGGAAACTGTACAACAGGGACATTGCAGGAAGTGTACATACTGGTACAGCAAAAAGATAACAAGTACCATGTTATCATTTACTCTCAGACAGACTTCATCTATATGTGGATCAATTCCGTATTTGGAGACTCTAATATCAGGTGGTACAGTACAACCACAGCTAATCGCAATAATTTTTGTTTTAAAAACTTGTGCATTAATCAGTATTTAAAGTACTGGAATTACTGATAAGCCTCCAACATCAAACTAATTAAATCCATAAAATAGTGGCATTAGCATCGATTGTTCCCCGACATCACATTACATTTACCCTGACCCGTGCAACCACGAAAACATCAGTGATGATCACATTACACAACAAAACGTAAAAAATAAAAGTTTGTCAAGGGAATAAATAATCGTTTTTCAAAATCTAAAGTAGTTTTACTTACTCGTCTGAGTGTACACGGGATTCGGGACCGATGTTCGACAGAGAAGGGGCAGGAGGGGGCTTCAAGACGCTGATCTTCATTGGAGTGGAACTGGTGTGTGCCATGGACGCATCATAGCTAACAAGAACAAAGAACACCAATTTGTACAACCTGAACGTCGGTGTTTGTACCACATAAAGCGTATCTTACAAAATGTTTACAAGCATGGATTGGACAGGAATGCAGCGTCAAGGAGGATAATACTTTATAGTGCCATGATAGCAATCAATATTTCAGACGGAGCTAGTAAGCTAGAGAAACATGCTGGGACATTGCATGTAGTCGACATCTTTGACTTTCTCACTAATGTGGTAAATAAGAAGTAACCAAGTATTATCTCAACATATAAGAAAACATAACGTTCTCTTACCTATCGAGTAGAAACAAGGCCACCTTAGCATCCGTCTGTAGTCCCCTGTCTTCTTTCAGTTGACGCCAACGTTGGAAAGCTGTACCGATTACCACTCTCGTCCTGTTTCGTTCTTCTGTTGCTTTTATCCTAGCTGTTGCTTTTTCACGCACAGTTTTGCCTTTTCTTTTCGAACCCGTTGTTGTCGTCTTTTCTGCCATAGTCAATATTCTCTCTGGCTGTGTGAGATAAAGCTGTGGAGTTGGGCTTGATAGCTAGCTAGCTAGGGGTCACGAGTCTGTGAACGCGCAGGGGGGAGGGGTGGGGAGAGCTCAGAGCTGACGGTTGATGGGCGTGCCAGCAACCAGTAGAAGTAGGGATGATAGTTACTTCTATTGGTTTGCGTTTTCCTCTGACTACGCCCTCTACACTGGACTAAAAGATTTCGTTTTTTTTCCAAACATTCTATCTCAGTTGGCGCAATGGGCTCGTGAGGAGGTTTTCAATCAGTATGGTAAAAACATGCTCCAGAAAACATCACATACCCCACCTTTAAGTTTTGGGTTCAACATGATAGGAAACATTTATTTCTCATGTAGGCCTTATATAAAAACAGGGTCAAAGGATTGATAAAATACAGCTCTAAAGGAGCAGATTTATAATACAAAAGGAAGACAGCAAAGCTGTCATAAAGTGTCGGATCAATCTTTAACCAATCAACAGGGTTCTCTCCATATGAGCTCCAGACAGGACGGATGTTTCCAGGACCTGCTACCCGCATTCCAGGATGGAAAGGTGAGCTTGCACATTTATCTCATAAAGATTTCTTCAATGAGTTACAGGTCCTGGCAGCGGAATTTACAAAATACCAGACGACACAGGAACGTCCAGGCTCGGGTCCAGTTCCGGGAATCGACTGGGTGCGCCTGAAGGTCATCAAAAGAAAGTGGTCTGAACCTCGCTTCACCGGACCATACCGAGTCGTGGAGAGGACATCTCATGCTGTCCGTCTACAAGGGAAAGGAGACACGTGGTTCCATTGGAGTCAGTGCACAGCAGCTGAGGAGCCACAACGCACGCTACAAGGCATACAGGAGAATCTACAGTCTCAACCTGCGGTCGAGGAGTGTCTGCAGGCCCATCCCAGCGCGGAGGAGGATCTGCAGTTCCAGGCAGAAGTGTAGCAGGGATTCCTGCCAAGACCACTTCATTTTCCTGAAATACAAGGCTTAAAAGGCCCGGACAGGCACAATAATCCTGTTCCGGTGTCCTTCCATTGAGAAAAGGAGATTGCACCCTCTCCTTAAACTCACTGTTATATTGGCACAATACTCCAATTTTCAGTGAGCAACGGACACTCAGGTGGAAACCTGAGGTTTACAACCGAGGAGGAACACGTGAAGGATCAGGCTACAAGATCATCATTAACTTATCTTCTCTTTATTGCGTGTTTTCGTTTTTTGCGAGCTCTTAAAGAACATTCGTTTCTTTTTGCGCGTATTTTTGGATCGTTTCCTGACGAAGAATTCATATTAATTTTTGGAGGACTATCGAAGGAGCATAGAGAAGAACTCTAAGTTCTTATTATTGAATGTGAAAAAAAAAAGGTATTTTGTAATTTTTATGTGTTTATGATTTATTTTCTTTTTTGATGTTGTTATTGTTTTGTATTGACAAATTGTAATTTTTGTGGCGAGTATTGTCTTTTAAGTTTCCTGGGCATTTTTTAGTAATTTCGAGATATCTTACTCTTGTTTTCTAATTTTATACTTGGGCTGATATTTCTATTGTGTTTTTTCTTCTATTGACATAACTGAGTTTTATGATTTTTCATGTTTGATAAGTGAAATGTATTTTTAGTTTTTACTGGTTAAAATTTGGTGGTTCATCAGGTGAGTATTAAAATTGTTGGATAGCGCAAGATACATTTGATAAGTTCAGATAATGGAGTTCAGCTTCAGACACATGACCTGGCAGTGGAGCTAGGAGGTTATGTTTAAAAAGGGGACTGTTATATAATTAGGCTAATGTTTTAGTTTTTAGTATACTAAATAGTTTTTTGGTTCCTCTATTAGAAGGCTTAATCAATTTATTTGTGAGGTCTGTGTGTCTCAGACCTCAAAAGAGGGACTGTTAAAGAAAAATAATTATTTTTAGTTTTTAATACAGTTAATCTTATGGCATGTGTAAAAGGTATGTTGAGCACTCTCATTTTGAACATATTTCTTAATTTTGAACAAGTTTGTGAAGATAACCTTTCCTTGAACCAAATTACTGAATTTAAGTTTGTTCCTGAGAATTTATGGCAGGAAGAGGCCCCGCATTCCACAGCTATTCTGTGAGGTCTTATTTTATGTTTTCTTTAGCCAGAAGACCTTAGAATTCCTGGACGCCAGGCCGTAAATTAGGGGAAGCTCTAAGTTTCTCTGAGTGTCAGAGATAGCTCCTGGTTGGAGGAGCAAAAGCCAGCCTTATTTGAATAAATTAAATACAAGAGGATAAAACTTTCTACACAGAAGTAACAAATCAGATTTGCTCTTGCAACTCTCCAAAGATGTCT